CGTCAACATTGTTGTGTCCCAAAGTGTACCGGCGATTCTCGCTACAACCAAGAGCTTTCCTTCCATCGATTTCCAAAAGACACATCATTAAAGGCAGAGTGGATCTCAAAGATCAGAAGAGACGAAGGGACCTCTTTTAAGGTAAAATATTTACAGTAAATAGTGGAGACGGTATACCAAATAATCTTAATAATACAGTGTTTTCGTTTTGTAGATTACAGGTAACACAAGAGTTTGCTCGAGGCACTTTCTTGAAAGTGATTACCGCCCTCTAAGTGCTAAAAGAAAAAGAAACCTTAAGTCTGGGGTTGTTCCTTCTGTTTTTGAATGGAGAGGTCCCATAAAACAAAGAAGAAAAATAATACGACATGTTGATAGGTACGTGGTCTTAGTGTACCCCTGCTATAGGAAGGGGGGGGGGGAACTAAATGCAAAAACAAGTTATCATGCGTTCATCGTTATAAAAACCAAAAGTAAAACTTTGTTTATTTTACAGTGGCACACAGACTGATGAAAGTGATGATTGGGAAACTTACCATCAAGCAATGTCCCCTTCAGAATCTTCTGCTGGCCCTTACACTGAAGACGTTGATGAGCCTGGGGAACTAGAAACACTGAGGGAAGCTTACAAAGATGCTCAGAAAGAAATAGAAGAGCTTAGAGCACAAGTTGAATTTCTTAAATTATATAAGTTTGGTACTGAGAGATTTTCAAATGATAATGATGACATTAAGTTTTATACAGGTTTTCTTTCGTATCAACATTTATGTAATTTCTTTAGGTTTATTGAACCTACAGCACAACACATGAGCTATGTTTATTCTATAAGCTCCCAGCAAAGCAGGCCTTCTGCAAGAAGCTTACTTTTGATTGATGAATTTTATACTCTATGCTGGGGGGGGTTTCCGATAAAGAAATCACTAGATGCAGTGGAGTGCTAGATCTATTAGAAAAAGATGATGTTGTCATGGCAGACAAAGGATTTGACATCGACGATTTGGTTGAAGCAAAGGGTGCAAAACACAACATTCCCCCATTTCTGCAAAGCCAGAGTCAGTTTTCTGTCAAAGATGTAAAAGAAACAAAAACCATTGCCAAATTAAGAATTCATGTTGAAAGAGCTATAAGGCGTATAAAAGAGTATCACATTTTTGATTCAGCTGTACCACTGAACATGTTGGGTACTGTCCCACAAATATATACTGTCATTTGTTTATTAACTAATTTTCAAGGCCCACTTATTAAAAATACAAAAAGTACTGCTAGTTCTCACTCAGTTGACAATTAACTTTAATGCATAACTTTTAATAAACCAAAACATTTGTGACAATTAATGGTTTTACTTAGCCTGTGAAGAAATCAAGTATTTTACAAAATTGTTACTATTATCTTAAATAATAATTGAAATAAAAACTGTCAACCTTGTCTTTACTTTGTTCAAAAAAGTCTTGATCAAATAAAATCCTTTCACAATGATATACAGAGTCATTAATGTAGCTAAAAAAGTCACACCAATCTAATCCAGTCAAAGCCATTTGACACTGAACTTGGTGATAGTACTGGTGGTTTCTTTTGAGCATAAGTTGGCCATCAAGTCCTTTTTCTATGTAAAATACTGTGCTGAAGTCTCTAGTACCCTCCTTGGGAACTTTCACCTCAAGGAGTCCAAAGGGCAAAAGGCCTGCATCCTCAGCATCAAAGTCGTATACTTTGCGATCTGGTGAAGCGCCAAGCCAAGGGCAGAAAGGGTTGATAATTAATCCAGAAGGATATATATTCACTTTTCCTTCCTTTGCAACATTTGCATATATCTCTACTGCTTTTGGCTCCATATCGATTCCACGTTGCATATCAGSTGTAACCACTCTCTTCGTAGGGTTGAGTTGTTTCACTAGATTTTCGAAACCAGATTGCCTTTTAGCCACTAGCCCAAATTTGCTTGCAGTGATTCTCTTTTCRCGCAGAGAATACCATARCTGACTTGCTGACTGTGARAGTGTCTTGTGTTCTATCTCAACAGCTTGGTCCAGTGTCACACTGATAGAGTTAAGGCCTGCAAGTTTCTGCTCAGGTAAACAGATGAGGTAGTTATTTGTAATCCTTTCTTGTGAATTCTCCAGTGGTAATGCTGGAAATTGTGAACTAAAATAGTCATTTATGACATATTCATTGGACAGTTTTTGCTGATAAGACAGTACTGACCCTTTAGGGACTTTCCCAAATTTACTTGCTACCATGGCAATAGATGGTAAAGTATTGTTATCATAGGCTATTGTTGCCATCAGTGGCTGTGGCTCAAGTCCACTTAGTTGTTCATTTGGCATTATAGGGTAAGCTTCTGCTGGCGAATAAAGGGTGCTCTTTATGAACTTCGAATAGTCTGCACCTTGCCTGGGCTTTTTGAGCATAAGATCTTGTACAGGCTTGTTGGCAATTTTTCTTTCTCTTGGCACACTCCACCTTTGGGGAATGCTGGTGCAGGTCAACTCATCTGGTATGGCCTTGTACCCAAGTGTCTTACAATGTGCCATGTAAAACAGTAATCCAACAACATGGTGACAGAACCCCCCAACACCAGCTACACACGAACAACGGCCCTTTATTGACTTGGATGCCAAATCTATGTCAGCTTCAAGAGTGTGTGGAGG